CTTATTAACCGAATCAATAATTCTTTCCAGTAGTCATTCTGACTTTTAAATGTGTCTGATCCTTCCATAATTTGGAGTTCAAAGGTTAAAATTTCACTTGCCATAAGCCATACTACTAACTTGACTGTGTTTATTGATGTAGGGAAAATACCGGATTCATTGTTTAGTTATGGTCTCATTATTCTTTCAAAAAAATTATCCTGTTTAAAAAATATTGGAGGTAGAACTAATCAGGTTTCTTCAGTAGTCCAAGCTGAACTATTTGTCATTATGAAGGTCTTATCAAAGCTTCAAGCTTGGAATACTCAAGAAGTTTGTATATATTCAGACGCTCAACAAGTTGTAAGGGTGTTACATCAAGCTGCAGATCTTCCCTAGTCCTGCCATTGGCTTTTGTCTAGGACCAGGAACTTAATGTTGAACTTTAGCAAAGTTAATTTATGTTTTGTAAACCGAATATTTAACAGCCCCGCCTATAAGGTGTCCCAAATAGCTAAATCTCACTGTTTATCATCTTTTGTTCTAAATGATTATCAAGATGGAATACCGAGGGTGGAGGACTTTGTTCTCCTGGTTTTGTGTTAATATAAGTGTTAATCTTTCAAAAAAAATTGGGGTTTTATTTGTTCAGTCCACTCCTAGAAATCTTAGTTCCACCCTAAGGGTGAAACGAATCATGATCATGGATTGATGCCAAATCTACAAGCAATATATGGTTTATAGGGGAGGCTACTAGTAGATTAGCTCCACCCCATCTTATTCCCACTTCTCTAGACTTGTAGCAGAGGCAAACTACAACCAAGTATGATTTTCAATCGATTTTTCTCTTTTTTTTTTCTGTTTAACATTGATCAAATATCAATCCTCACCATTCTATCTCCCTCTTTATTTTTCCTTCCGTCATTGTTTTTTTTGAACTAAATACCCCAACATGGTTTTCTTGGTTGGAAACAAATAAAATGGCGTTTTATGGGCTTAAAATGGTGTTTATACATGTTTTTTTAGGATTATACATGACTGGGGGTAATATTGTATATTATATTGGAAAAAGCCTGTTTTCAACCAAGCAATGTTGTGAAAATAATGCTTTTTATTAGGAAACACATGACAAAAAAAAAAAACACCTTACCAAGCATGTTTTAAGCACCTTTTTAGAAACACTTAAAAAAAAAATCGCTTAGTGACAATAAGTCTTGCCAAACACAACCTTACTAAATAAGCTAGAAGTTTGGGTTTATTGAATAAGTGCTTTGTTTTCAGGGATAAACACATATTTGGGCTTATTTTCTAAATGCAAATAAGTGCTTATCAGTGTATTCCCGACCCAAAATAAGTGTTTATTCAAATAAGCACCCCCAAACTTAGCATTAATATTCTACTAGTGTAAGAGGATGCATGCCACATGTGCAAAATAGTTAGCTTAAAAGATGATAATTTGGACACCATTTTGTAAGATCTATGTAATTGTGTTATCTCCTCTATCATTGTACCCCCATCTCTTCAAGGAGAATGGGCAAATTATTTGTTCTTCTCACAAAGTTATGGTCAAATACTAATAATAATAATAATAGTAATAATAATAATAGTAATAATAATAATATTATTATTATTACTATTATTATTATTATTATTTTGTATTTGGTGCTATGCACCACTAACAACCCCCTTTCCCCAAATCGATCATTGCGAGAATCGATTCCACATCAATGCCGGAGCAAATCAACATACCAACGAGCCACCCCTCGGTTGGTCAAATACTAAGACCCATTTAAAGCTCCAAACATATTGGTATAGATGTTAACTAATAAGGGATGTATATCAATGAAAGCCATGTTTGGTTCAACTCTCAATTATTTCTCATTCTTATCCAACATGAAATTCTAAAATGAGCAAGAATGGGTTAAAAATGGGCATAATGAGAACATATTGCTATGAACCAAACACTTTTTTCCTAAAAAATGTTTTTATTTTCCAGACCGACAAGTGTCCTATGTTGCTCATTTTCATGCTTAAAAAAATTCTATGTTAGTAGTCATAAAAGTGCCAGCATAGGTCTCCAAAACTGTTAGCGTAGATGTTTACCGGCGGATGGGTGACGATCAATGCCGGTTGGCATAAGTTTCTATAGTAGTCCGCTAGTAAACATCTATGGCAACAATCTTGTAGACCTAGGTCAATGGTTTACTAAAACTAACATAGAATTTCTTTAAAGAATGAAAATGAACATGATGTGAAGAATGAGGCTCATGACAAAAATTTTGTAATCAAATTATTGTTCATGAACCAAACATGAAGATTAAAGAATGAAGCCCAAGCAGCGAATCAAATATGACAGAAGTCACTATCATGAGCTTTATCTAATGCGAGCATGGTTTTCAAAATCGGATCAGACCGGATGGTCAGACCAGAAAAATCGATAACCGTTCAACCATCAGGGTCCAGTTATACCATAAACTGTTAATGCCTAAATAACCGTTGAAAAGGTAAAAAGACCGCTGACCCGGGCGGTCGAACCGATAAACTGTTCGACCCGGGCGGTCGAACCGATAAACTGTTCGACCCGGGCAGCGGTTTGCGGGTTATGAAATTAATTTCCATTAGATTAAAAAAATAAAAAAAACAATAAAAGGACATTCATGTCCCCGATTCCCAAGTCTTACGAGTTAGAGTTAGAAGTTTAGAACGAAACCTTCCTTGAGTTCCTTCCTCTCAGACGATCTGCGACAGCCACGACCGACGGTGAATCATGACGACCGACAATGGCGGTGAGTTTCATCTACGATGGATTTCTTTTTGTAATAAGCAGGAGCAAGAAGTAGCGGCGGCAGGCGATTTTGCAGCAGCGGTTGGGGGTTTATAATATGCTGCGGTAGTAGCAGTTGGCAGTTGGCAGTTGGCAGCAACAAGGAGACACGGACTGCAGCGGCCGGCGATGATTTTGGTCACATACAAGTTTTTTCCTATTCACTTTTGTTTTTTATTCATCCTTCCTTTTTATTTTGCGTGGCCGCTTCTCTGTTGGCTCATTCTAATTTCGTCAAGGTCGATGAATAACTTTTTCTTCCGCATCCTTGTTCAATTTATTTTGAGGACTGTCCGAGTACACTCTCTTCTCTTATCTTTCTCTCAACCATTGTTGTCTAAGGTTGATCAATTCAATTTTATTCAGCCGGTCAAGTGTTTCTTTTTGTCTTTGTAATGTAATCATTCATTTATGCTCGGCTTTTTTTTTGGGGGGTAGAAGTTTCTGCTTTGCTCTATTTCTACTAAAGAACTCCCTTTTTTTAGTTAATTAGTTTTTTGTGCCTCTTTTTTTTTTTTTTTTTTAAATTTTCATCCGTTTGTGTTGTGAACCGGAAACCTTGTTATAGTGTTTGAGGAATATTGGCTTGAGCAGGATAACGTATTTCCATATTAACTTCTTGTGCTAGCTGAATTGCACCCATAAACCAACACCATCTACCTAGCATCCTCAACATGCACCATAGCTGTAGAACTTTTCTGTTTTTTTTTTCCTATACTTTTTAATTTTTTTGAGTTTTTTCTGTATTTTTTAGATTTTTTTTTTGTATTTTATTTTACAGTAACCTATCACAAACTGAACCGCTTAACCGAAAACAATCCCCTTCCCAATTCTGTTTCTGGGTCGTTTTTAAAAACCTTAATGCGAGGATAACCTTTAGCCAATTTAATGGCGATTCAGCTTGGTAGGAAGATTTGGGGTTACCTCCAAAAAAATAGTCTTATTCCTTTTGGATATTAATATCTGGCGCACTCATTGTCATAAGCTATCCAAGTAAATATTTGACGTATGTTGTCAACATGGTGTTTGTGCAACTCTCATAGTAAGATGGACCGTATCTTCTTATCATATGAGATCATCGGATGCGCTGGTTTTGAGTGCGCATTTCTATATATTGGCAGTAGACCTCTTGATGGCCGGGCTCGAGTTTGTCTCTTGCCATATACACAACACTGAATCTATTCAACTGAAGTTCATTTGATTTCAGGTCTCTTAATAAATAGTTTGGTCACTTGGTAGTTAGAGATAATAGAAAATTTTAAAAGATTCAAGATAATTGAACATGCAATGAAGAGATGGAAGGTTCCCTAATTTTAGACTATGCAAAGGAGAATCAGAAGAGCAATTGGACTCATATTAGAGAGTATGAGTGTAGGATATGGTGTTGTTGCCTATGAATGACTCGGCTTTTGAAACTAAGAGGAAGAGTAAAAGAGAGATGTATTCGAGTTCATCCCATCACCGCCATTGATGCATTATTGGAATTTGAAAAGCAGAGCCGAAGAATTATCAATGGAAATATGGAAGAGCAAATAAAGGGCCAAAGGGGTGTGAAATGTGAACTGTGAAGAGGTGGGGGCTTTTGGTGAATACTGAATAGAGATGATCTGGGTTTCTTCAAAATTTTACTGTACCAATCGGTGATAAGTAATTACTTGCTTTGGTATTTGATTTGAGGTAAAAGAAAGAGACGCCGGGAGAGTATCATTTGAGTCCGAACTCCAAACTGCACACAGCACAACAAAAACCGCCGGAGCTCTCCTTGTCGCCGCCGAGGGAGGAAGGGTTCGGTGGAAGGAGGAAAGCTCCAGCCTCCAGGGGAAAATCACTAAAAAATCTCGCAGCATGAGGTTTACAGGCCTTTTGATGCAACCAGTGGATCATGTTGGGTCCGTTTCGTGTCCGGTTGAACCGTCGAATCTAAGTTTTAACGCGCGTTTGACCATTAACGATTGGATGATCGACGTGGTCGAATTCGATTGGCGGGTTTACGTGCCCAGTGCACCCACGGGTGCAAAGAACGCGGACCATATGATCGGTCTCCGCATATCGCACACATGATGGGAGTATTATGGTGGGCCCCAACTTCATAGTGAGATGTGCGGATAAAGATGAGAAAATGAGAAATGTTAGTTTAGTATTTGACCAATGGTATATAGTAATTTACCCTAAACTCGATCCCTTGATATTTTTTAAAGAAAAAAAGAAAAAAAGAAAAAAGAAAAACTCGATCCCTGATGTCTGTCCGCATACCACATGCATTCAGTTATCAACTTGTCATGAGACTCATCACCCGGACTGTATCGTAAAGTGGTTTAGTAATCTCCCGACTGTGATTTGGCTTTCAAATTGAAAAAAAAATTTCTTTCTCTTGGTAGGAGATTTGAATTGTCTGAAAGCAAGAGATCTTAATTCCCTCCAATTTCTGCAACTATACTGGTTCTCTTTCGCCGTTGATAATGGCGTCTTCAATGTTCAACAACAGCATCTCTATCTCAATGTCGGACGACGATTCGGACGAGCTCGCTGGAAAAATGAAAGTTCGAGTTCGAAGGAAGCGCAAGAAATTAGGGTTCCGAGGAAAGAACAATTTTTTCCTGAGGATGTTCTGGAAGCTAATGAAGTGGTGGACGGTCTTGCTCTTTCTTCCCGCAATCGGATTGCTCATATTCGAGTCATCGAGGATTTCCGGGAAGCCCAGTGAAGTAAAGAAGCCGGACTTTGTCGCAGAAGAGAAAGCAGTGGGGAATTTGAATCGTCTTGATCCCACGACCAGAGTGGTTGGTGGGGTCAGAGAACGTAACCCTCTTGCATTATGTCATTATTGTTTTACGCTTAACAAAACCGCGGATTTGCGTACCATATAGCGGTGGTGCTAAGTATTACTCGTTTAGCTCAACAAAATATGATTTCTTCTGATAATATTTGTTGTTTTTTTAAACCCTAAATTTTGGATTTTGAACTATGAACTCTTGCATATCGTCTCATTCTAGTTATCTCATAAAGGATTCTTGTCGTGGCCCAACATTTTTTTGTATGTCATTTGAAGAAGTGTTCTTTCACATCAAGTGGCGGAATTGGTTCAGGAGTAAAGCTGTTTTTGTCATTGTGTTTCTGCTATTAGTTGTTGATGCCCTCTCCTGGCCTTAGGTAACAAGTCTGATTATCATCTTAGCTTGTTTATCAGCGTGGAGACTTTACACTAACTGACCTACACTTTGAGATTAGCTCCCTTTGAGGATATTTCTCTTTTTTAATTCCCTCCGAGAGCTGTGCAATATTAGTTGGAGATTTTAGAGGATAATGACTTAATTCCCTTGAAGGATTTTCCTGATTGATCATCTCTCAGTCCCTCTCCATGGATGTTGTGGTCTATGCTTATGTGTTCATACGGAAGTTCTATGGAAACATTATGTGGTACCTTGTTTCCTTTCGCCCTTTTCTTGATAGAGATATGATGGACTGTATTCATATTGTTAACTTTTTGAAGGTGTTTGTTTCTTTTTCTACCAGGGTAAGGATCACCTTGCCGGTTTGTCCACAAGGAATACCTGTAATACTTATTCTCATTTCCCCCTTCTTTAATTTGTTTGTTGTTTCCATTTATTGCTGGTCAAAGAAAACATAAGGACTTTCTCTATTTGTGAAGATTTGGGGTAAGCTAGATGGTAACCCTTTTGTTTGGTTGGTGATTCTGGTTAAGACATTGACAAGGAACCACCTTTAGCAGTATGTGCACCTTTTCCCTTGTGGTGTACCAGGGATGTGAAGCTCTTTTCATATCCTTTTTTGCTGTGGATTGGGTTGGTCCTAGAGAATCTCCTAAGAGTTCTCATATCCTAATGGTTCCTTAGTATTATGATTAGTTTTTAAGGATTATGGTTTCTTTCTCCATATCTTGAGGGTTTTATTTAAGCATGGATATGGAGATTTGAAGATGACACCTTGTCTAGCTGTGCCTGTGCTGTATCTGGGTATTACGGGTCATACAAGGTATTAAATTTTGATATGGGACACGTTGGAACCCATAGCAGGGCTGAGGTTATGAAATATCCATGGAGTGCAAGTTAAAAAGTACAATAAGTTCTAGATTTTTCTTTCTTTCCCCTATTTTTCTTACTTCCTCCCAATGGTTATCTAAACTTTGCATTTGCATTATCATTGTTTTGCCTTTTTTCTTAACTCCTTTACAAAGTATCCTATTTCTTATATGCCTCTTTGTATGTTTTATTATTCAATGTCTATATCATTCTGTTAGCTTTTGAAACTTGAAGCTCACATGTAATGTCAGGATTTTGGAAACTTGAGTAAAATTTGAAACCGGGTAATGATTCCTCGCCAACTTTTTATTTCCCTGCAAATTTTGGCTTTATTTATTTTTTTGGAATGATCATTTCTTAAAAAAGTTCTAAGAGATCAATTGGTAAAAGTTTGGGAGGAGTTGGACGTCTAATTTGGGTGGTGTTGATATTTCTAATAAAGGAATCATTTTGAAATAACGACACAGAACTGTTTTGTCTTTTTACTACTTTTCTTATTTACTTTTGTATTTTCTTCTATTTGATGCGAATTTTCTTTTAGGAGAAAAGACAGATATTGATCAACATTCTATTTCTATCAAGGGGAGAGAAATATATCTTATGAATTCTTCACCATATGCATTTGCTTGAGTAATTGATTCAGAAATGACATGGGAGCAAGATTAAGTATTTGTTTTCAAAGACGCTATTTACTTTGATTAATTTATTCTTTTTCAAAAGATTATTTTTTTCTGATAGTGAAAGTAAACACCAATAGTGGCAACAAAGTTAGGTAGTTTTTTTGAAAGCTGTTATTAGTTTATTCAATTTCAAAAGATTCTATTTTTGATAATGCAAATGAATACCAATAGACAATGCCAATTACTATGTTTGAAAATGATCTGAAATGACTTGGCAACTGAAGGAAACTCTAGAATAATGTATTTCCTAATCAATTTTCTTCCCTATGAACATGGCATCTTGGTCCAGTTACATTGCCAAATCCATTTCCCTGGAAAGGATGGACATATATCTCTTGGGGGGGGGGGAGAACTTCCCCTTCCTACCTATTAATTTCCTAATAAGTTCCTTATCCTATTGCTTGTTATTGGAAAGTATTATCCATTCCATGCTGAAAAAAGGCTGTCCTTATTAGTTGCTGACAGGGTTCTCTTTTCGTCTGGATAGTGGAACTTGCAAGCTTGAATAGAGCATTGTTTTATTGTCTATCTTCTAGTTGGGATAAGGCTTTGTTGATTTGAATTCAGTGAGAAACCATGAAGATGTTTGTAGGGTAGATTTTCTAGTCTTAGTAAAAACCAAAATGCTATTCATAGTAACTTCCATACTTAAAATATTTGTAATAACTGCAATACCTACTTTTTATAGTAAAATCATGATTAGCTATTTTTAGTAATTTCTGGCTTCATTAGACTGAGTTGGTGGCTTTTACTTGTTTTGAAGAGTTTATTGAGGTTAGATGTTCTTGGGTGTTAAATAATCCTTTTTCTTGGTCAAGGAAGCTTAGACCTAATCTGCGTAGAGGTTAGAGCTTTATAAATATATTGTAAGTACTTCACATGAGGGGGAATGAATGTGAGTTTGATTTGAAGTTGAGTCTTGTTATTGCATGTTCTCTAATCCCCCCCTCTCTCTCTCCACCCCCTCCACCCTGTGTGCTCTGACTACAAGCATCTTGTGCTTTTCCATGGGACCTTGTAGGTTATAGAGCTAGGTTTCAGTGTTGCACCTACAGCTAGTTTTCTCCCCCATCTAAATGCATTCAAAATTTTATTTTTTCCTCATCCTATACCCACCAATCTCTTCCATAAACATGTTATAACCATCCGAAATTTATTGTCAAGCATTCATTAGCTTTTTTTTTCTTTATATTCTACAAATTTCATTACTTCTTTATCCACCTTGTTCATCCTAGCAGGACTTATCTTCTTCCTTTCCTACATCAATTACCCTTACTAGCATCAATGATCATGACCGCCGAAACTTCCTAGACCTTGTACTTCTTTCACCTGCATCTGCTTATGGCCTCCATATTTGTTGCTGATTTATGCCTTCTAAGTTCTTAGTTAAGGTTGTAAATGAAATGATTGAAGGTTATGGCCTGGCCAACTGAGTAGTAGTTGACATCGCTGATAACACGTATGATTTTGGTTGTATCACCCACCCCTCCCTTGTGCAGACACTAGTTGGAGCATGCTGCATGTTCAAGTGTTGTTAATTTGAAGAGCTTGGTGTGTAATTGCTAAACTTGGATGGAAGTATTATTGGTTGAGTTTTCCTTTTAGGGGCTGCATTATCTTTATTCTGTGGAATAATGGACTATTACACTCAGACAAATCTTAGCTTATATTTAATTGATTTAATATCTTCTTCATTTTTTTTAGCATGTCATTGTTGTAATTTATTCTCTTAGAGAACAGTGTCTTTTTAGATCTTTGTTAGAATCAAAGTTCACTAATCAAGTTAAACTTTGGAGGGGGGGGTGAACAAAGTCAAAGTTCACTTGCCTCATCTTCTGTTGTAATATTTAATGTTCAGAACATCTTTTGTCATTTGTTATTTAAGTGAAAAGTTCTGAAAATAATTATTGTCATGTTATATTAATGGTTAGCATTTCTTTTTCCTGGATTTTGATAGGTTGCTTGAAGCTCCTGCCTCCAGAACAACTTGAGATTCTGGATATCCCTGTAGCTGAAGAAACAAGCTTTCCTGTGAGAAGAGTGGTATACAAATCAGATAGTGGCACATCATATTTAGGGGGCAATGCTATTCTATTAGAGAGGCACACGGAGGCTACAAGATTTAATTTATTCACGGGAAACCAAACTCTTCAGGAAAGGGAACAAAGTTATAAGGTCTTAATCTGTGCCTTGATATTTTCAAGTGGTTTTGAAAATTGAAATTAATATATGACCATTATCATTTTGAGTCAAGAACTCAAGATGCAGTATAATTTGGTCAGAGTGCTTCATTTGTAAGGCTATTTTCATGGTGACTTATAGAAACCTGATTCTGATGTTATGTGTCTCTAGAGTTGCTGCTTTTATATGACTTCTGGCGATTCTATCCTATTTGAAAATTGTTTATGTCCAGTTTGTTTTATTGGTTATTGAGAATATTGAATGTTTCAGGCAAATGAAACTGCTGTGGTGCATTGTGGTTTCTACAGTGAAAATGGTGGGTTTAGAGTTTCTGATGAGGACAAGAATTACATGAAAACTTGCAAAGCTGTTGTAACCACTTGTGCATTTGGTGGTGGAGATGATCTCTATCAGCCTATTGGAATGTCCAGTGCATCACTTCAAAAGGTTAACTTCCATTATCATGCATGGCCTGCCAATTTGAGGCTAGGGTGATGCCTGTTTGAGGTTATTATGCTGCCTTTGGATGTATTTAATTTTGGTTAGGGTGCAGGTCTGCTATGTGGCATTTTGGGATGAAATCACACTTGCAGCTCAAGAAGCAGAGGGGAAGAGAATTGATGAAAACCATATGATTGGTAAATGGCGCATTGTGGTCGTCAGGGATCTTCCTTTCACAGATCAGCGGCTGAATGGTAAAATCCCTAAGGTAGCAAAGTTGCAAATCATTTCACAATTGCTCCTAGATATTTATGCCATTGTAAAATTTTTTTGTTTGTTTTCATTGTAAAACTTGTGAAAGTACCTTTTCTATTACTATTCACAAAAGAACATACTATTTAGCAGAGTCTTTAGTTATTATCAATCAAAATCTATACTATAGTTATGACAAGAAAATACTTTTTGAGAGGGTTTAGAGTTTTTAGACTACTGCTTCTTTGGGGTACAAGAGATTGGATATAGAAGCATATTTGCAAGTGGTAATAAGGTGGTTAAAGAGTAATATGGTTCCGTTCCTTGGTTCATTACATGAGAGAAGTTACATATTTGGCATCCAGATTGAACACCCAGTGTGTCTAGGTGCCAAGAGATGCTAACTGAATTGCTAATTCTCTAGCAAAGGAAGGGAACTAGTAGATCTGAACTGTACTGGGGTCCTGGACTCTGGTGTGGGGGATTGGCAAGCGTAATGAGTTTGGTTTGGGGTTTTTTTGGTATGTTGCATCTTGCTATCCAATCTAGCCTAGCAACCTTTCTTCTAAATTTCTTTCCTTTATGTGGGTGAGGATTTCAACATAGTAAGAAGAAGGAATGAAATGAAGGGGGGGGGGAAGGGATAGAAGAACTTATGTAGGCATGAGGAGGTTTGAAGAATTTATAACTAATAATGAGTTAATAGATCCACTGATGGTTGGAGGGAAGTTTACATGGTCGAAAGGCCAAATTCCAGCCATCCTCAGAAGGCTGGACAGATTCTTTCTCAGAAGATTGGGCAGGTTATGTGGGGGAAGTGGTTCAAGAACCAATGACCATACAATTATCAGATCATAGACCAATTCTACTGAGAAAGTTTGCTGCTGTTACAGGCTTCAAACCTTTCAGGTTTGAGAATGAATGGTTACTCCAACAAAACTTCGTGGAATGGGTGGAAAGTAAGTGGAAGGGCCAGCAGGTTTAAAAGTGATTAAAAAATTGCAAGTCATTAAGCAAGAATTGAGGGATAGAAGGAAGGAAGCATTTGGAGGGGAAGAGGGTAGAAAAGAGAGATTTTGGAAAAGCTGGCCAGATTAGAAAGAGTAAGAGAGGAAGGATAATTCAGGAGAGAGGTTCAAACTGAGATAGCTGTTTTGGAATTCGAGCTAGAGGACCTAATGTTGAGGGAGGAAGTCAGGTGGAGACAAAAATCTAGGGCCATATGGCTGAAAGAGGGAGATAAGAGTACTTCTTTCTTCCATGCTTTTGCAAATGGGAGAAGAAGGAGAAATCTGACCATGAGGATCTAAGTGGAGGAGAAGGTGATAGACACATGGGGAGGGATTCAAAATAAAGTGGTTTCTTATTACAAGAAGCTGTACACTGGGAGAGGTTGGAGTTGGATGTCCTTGGGAGAATTGGAACCAAAGTGGCAAATATGCTAAGTAACAGTGTGGCAGGTTGGCTAAAAGGGATCTTGAAGTTGGATAGGTAAAGGAGGCTTTGAAAAAAGTCAATGGTGACAAAGCACCAGGGCCAGATGGCTTCAATTTTAATTTCATTAAAAGCTGCTAGTACTTCTTACAAGATGACTTTATGCAGATGTTCAAGGAGTTCTGGGACTCCAAAACTCTATATAGGAGGGTGGATGCTACATTTATCTCTCTAATACAGAAGAAAAGTGGGGCCGTGAACATAACAGATTTCAGGCCAATTAGTTTGATAAGCAGCCCTTATAAACTATTGGCAAAAGTACTGGCAGGAAGACTGAGAAAAGTGATTCAGGAGGTAATAAGGGAGACACAGATGGCTTTTGTAGAAGGAAGACAGATTCTAGATGGGGTGCTGGTGGCCACTGAATGTATAGATTCAAGGTTAAGAAGCGGAAGACCAGGTTTGGTTTGTAAGCTAGACGTAGGAAAGGCTTATAACCATGTTGAATGGGGATTCTTGGAGGAAATGCAAAGGTTGGTGGGGTTTGGGGAGGTTTGGAGGGGCTGGGTATATGGGTGTATTTCATTAGCCTCTTTCTCATTGCTAATTAATGGAGTGTTATCAGAATTTTTCAAGCTTCTAGAGGGCTGAGGCAAGGGGACCCACTCTCCCCTCTACTGTTTGTCTTAGTCATGGAAGCACTGAACTTGCTCATGAAGAAAGGAGTGCAGAGGAGATGGATAGAATGCTTCAAAGTTGGAAATGAAGGCCCGTGTATCTCTCACCTACAATATGCTGATGATACACTAATCTTTCTAGATGCATCAACAAACCAAGTTCTGAACATTTTAGCCAACTTTGAGATGCTGACTGGCCTGGAGATGAATTTAGATAAGAGTTTTGATAGGAGTTGGGACATAAGAGTTGAGGAAGTGAGACAGTATGCAGAGGTGCTGGAATGTAAGGTAGGGGAGCTAGCTTTCATATATCTTGGGCTACCGGTGGGCACAAAGGCAACGACAAGCAGTATATGGAAACCTTTAATAGAAAGGGTGGAGAGGTGGCTAGATAGATGGAAAGCCAAGTATCTATCTTTGGGTGGGAGAATTACACTCATAAGTGTGTTCTATCTAGCCTACCAACATATTACCTTTCCCTCTTACAAGTTCCCAAAGAAGTGGCTTCAAAAGTGGAAAAAATTCAGAGGGACTTCCTATGGGAAGGGGTGGGGTGGGGGGACAAAAAAATTTAGCCTGGTTAAGTGGGAGATGGTATGTAGAGCAAAGGACAGGGGAGGATTAGGGCTGAGGAGGGTAAAACTATTTAATAAAGCACTTTTAGGGAAATGTCTGTGAAGGTTTGGGCAAGAGGGAGAGGGGGAGGCTTTATGGAGGAGGGTGGTGGTTGGAAAATATGGAGTGGTGAGGTTTGGGTGGGAATTAAGGGAGGTAAGAAGTTCCTACGGGGTAAGTGTGTGGAAGGGAATCATGAGCAAGGTTCAAAGTATTGGAAATGCCAAGTGTATCGGAAAGGCAATTTTAAGAGACGTATTGGGATACGCCTTGGATACGAATGTGTATCGGAGAAAAACTAAGATACGCTTGGAAATAATATAAATAATTTAATAAATCATAAAAATACATCAATAACACTAAATATAAGACCTCAATGAGGTGTATATACATTAAATTAATATATTTTAATGGTTTTATGAAGAAATATATTGTAGGTAATTATAATTTCATTAAAAATCTTATGTTTAACTATAATTTATAAATTATAATTCTTAAGTTTTAATGTTTTATGTGATGGTAAAAACTCAATTCTTCTATCCAACCATAAAACCATAAAACGTGCATTGGCACAACTTAATCCATGGTTTTTAAAACCGACCCGGAGACCGAACCGGTCAGAGGTTCGGTTACCGGGTTGAATTGTCCGACTGTTCAAATCGAACGGTCATCCCGTTTTGACAAAAAATTAAAAAAAAATAAAAACGGTCAAAACCGTTCGAACGGTTAACCGCTCGGGTCAGCGGTTTGTTGACCAAAATCAACGGTTTTTCTTTAGAAAACGAAACCGATCAACTGATCGGTTCCCAGTTTTCTGGTCCAGTTCGGTTTTGAAAACCATGATATTATCAATAATTATTTATTATTTATTTTCAAAAATTATAAAAAATAAATAAACATTACATAATATATTCAAAAAATAGTTATTAAAAAAGAAATTCCAATTGCTTTGCGGATATGGTAGATCATCCATAGAATTATAATATGTTCAATCATTGTGATCAAATAATAAAATATAATTAATTAATTTATTTTTAATTCTAAAAATATAAAAATAAAAAAATTAAATAAGAAATTTTAATTGGTCTATGGATATGAAAGATCATCCATAGAATTATAATATATTCAATTGTTGTGATCAAATGATAAAATATAATTAATTATTATTTATTTTTTAATTCTAAAAATATAAAAAATAAAAAAAACTAAAGAAGAACTTTCAATTACTCTATAGATATGATAGATAAATCAATAGATCTAAAACATATTTAGTCTTTATAGGTAGAGAAAAATTACATTTTCAATTTTTTTTATTAATTTATATTTTCTCCAAATATCATCATGAAACTATTAGAAATTTATTAATAACACAAAAAATTGATGATTTTGAATGTAAGAAATGTAGAACAACATAAATTTAAACATTCAAGAAAAAAAGAAATCACAAGATATTATAAAAAAATGAACAAAATTACTTATTTTTGCCATATTTTTTCAAAATTTGAAAAAATTTCAAAAAAAAAAAAAACGATTCACACTTGTTTCTTGCAATTTTTCTTGCAAATCTAGCGCTCTAGGAATGAGGTTTGGAGTTTTAGAGTCATTTGGGGGTGAAAGAAGGCTTATTTCGAGGAAAAAAAGCTTGCTTTTCCCCTTTTTTTTTCAGTTTTTGGCCGTATCTCTTTTGTCGATACACTACGTGTACGCCCCGATACGGTCTGATACGCATGAAAAGAAGACGAGACGTCCGATTTCCATGCGTATCTCGTATCTGTTTTTGAAAGATACGATACGATATGCCCCGTGTCGGGCGTATTGTATCGAAATTTTAAACCTTGATCACGAGTTTCAATCAAGAATTCAGAAGTTTAGTTAAGTTTAAAGTGGGGGGTGGTCTTAGGGTAAGGTTTTTGGAAGATGAGTGGTTGGGGGTGGGAAGATTATGTTAGGTGTGTCCAAGACTTTACAAATTGGCAGACCAACAAGTGTCTATTTGAGCAGTGCTATGAGTGGAGGGGGGGGGGATCAAGTGATATAGAACCCGAAGTTCAGAAGACCTTTAGTGGACCAAGAAGTGGAAAAATGTATTCAGTTATTGGAAAAGTTGGAAGAGGTAAACATTTCCAGAACTACAGCAGATGCATTATGGTGGAAAGAGTGTAAAGAAGGAAGATTCTCAGTTAAATCTTTTTACAAGGCTTTACTGAGAGATGGTAGGGATTCAGACCAGATAAAAGGTGTGTGGGGCAATCCAGTACCCCCAAGGGTAGAGGCTTTTGCTTGCAGCTAG